CAGTAGGGTGGAGCAGGCTGGCAATGTGTCTGTGACTGAAACCAATTGTTTAGCATGCAGGGAAGGTACTGGAATCTTATTATTATCACGTTATCTCATTGTGTTGATAGATTGTTACAATGACTATCATTTTTATGCAATGTGGCAGAATGTCATTGCTTGTGGCAAACGGTAGCATATAATGTAAGTTGACGGTATAGCTTATAGGTGCAAAGCTATAAGAAAATACCCAGCTTCTCTATCATTTGCAGCTCTAAAGGGAAGGAAGATCTCAAGGCACAAGTCAGGAAACACTCAAAATGAGCTTTTTTTTTTTTTTTTCAACTAATACAACATGACATAAGAGCTTTTCTAAAACTTACTCTAGGAGAAGCCAGTGCTTTAAGATTAGTTAGAGTCTGCCCTACACAGCAATCATGCCTTCAAAGAAAGGGAACACATCAAATATTTTAACAATGGCTGTATCTCTCACTTTTCTAGGTCAATCCTGCTTTCACATATTTGGCTCTGTTCTGCCCATGACGATGACTTCACTCACTACGATCAAACAGCTTTTTGAAGGGAAGTTTCTTAATGTATGTGGACTTTTTCTTTAACTTCTAATAGGAAAAACTGGATGTCATTTTCCAAGGGGGCGGGACAGCAGTACAGCCTGTTAGTATCAAAAGGGAAAAGCTGAGGGACATAATGGGGTGAAAACTACCCAGATAATTCTTTAGGCAGTAGCTCCTCTCTGTATCTCCTACTGTTCCTACATTTTACTGGTTTTGAAATCTACCAGGCATGTTAATTTTCATAGGATTTAAATCAGTCATCTGGTTATGTACAAAAATCTGTACCCAAATAAAAACCACAAATGAATGAATAAGATTGGGAACTAGAGGGACTGTGAAAGAGCCAGGACTTAGGAGAACAAAAGTCCACCCAGATTGCTCTTCTGAACCTCTTTTCCCCATCCCCCACCTCGGCATGTCACCTAGGCTCAGTAACTCACCCTCTCGGAATATCTGCCCCTGGTTTTTGAGTTCTGGGAATTGAACGGAGTGGGAAGTAGCAAGGTGTTCTGTAAATGGAGGATTAACCGAAAGCTAGGAATTGACGGGTGTGCATGAGATGCATAGCTTCCTTATATGGGAATAATCATGCTTAGAAAGAGATTTTCATTTTTCTGCCTCCTAAATTATAATTCATGGCTTCTTCACTAAAGTCTAATACTGCACCACAGACTTGGGTGGTTTTACGGGGAGAAATAACAGCACAGACAGGACACAAGCGTCGACGGGGCCCAAGCCTAGTTCACAGCCCTGCACTGAGGGAAGATCAGGGCCCAGGATTCCCAGAAAGTGCGAGGTCAGTGGTAGAGCTGGGAGAGACCAGCTGCCTCAGCAAACCCCTGGAGCCAACATCCCACTTCCTACCTAGATTAGAAGGTGGCTTCTGGAATGAGCAAGACCAATGCTTGGGTTGCACTCAAAATAGGGGCAAATGACACTTTGTTTGTCCAAAGAAACAGGAAAAAAAATGAAATAAAATAAAGATCCGTCATATGCATGAAGTGATGGAAGAAAGCAAAAGGTTCTAGTCTAGAACACAACATAGTTAGAATTAAGACAGAACAACTATTCGTTGTGAAGGAACTCAGACAATCCATTTGTCCCATGAGGACAGCTTCAATGCCAATCCTAGTGGAGATACTGTCTGATGAGAGGAATTAAATATAATATGTGACTCTTTCGGCGATTCTGAGGTAAGCATAATTGGCAGTTGCTATGGACTGACCTGTGCCCCTCCTTAACTTCATATGTTGAAACCTTAACCCCCAACGTGATGGTATTTGGAGGTGGAGCTTTGAGGAGATAATTAGGTCATAAGGTAATGAGGTCATGAGGATAGGGACATCGTGATGGAGGAGATTAGTGCCCCTACAAGAAGAGCCACCAGAGAGCATCCTGGTTATCTCATTCACCGTGTGAAGACAGAGAGAAGGTTGCCACCTGCCAGCCAGGAAGAGAATTCTCACCAGAAACTGACTACACTGCCATCTTGATCTCGGACTTCTGGCCTCAAGAACTATGAGAAAATAAATATCCGGTGTTTAAGCCACCCAGTCTATGGAATTTTGTTATGGCAACTTGAGATGACTCAAACAACAGTCTATTTATTGATCCCTATGTAAAGACCCTATATAGCTGAGTCCTCTGGCATTGCAATACATTAATTAGCTTGGTTACTTTAAGAATTACTACAACTCTTTTCCAGTCTTTTAAAAGTAATTTGCACCTGCCCCTGCCTGGTACCTCCTCACGCCCTGAAGCCACATCATAGAGGGCACATTACAGCTGAATACAAGGATGCTGATCCCAGGGATCCACCCAGGAGCACCCTTCCTCCACACCACCTCTTATTCTGGTTCTCCTTGATCTGACCCTCCAATCTGTGATATGTGCCGAGGCACATGCCATGCTACCTACCTAGACCCATTATCTGGGTAGCTTTTGTTTTCTATTGTCGTTTGCTTGGGCATGTAAACTCCCTGCTCCACGAGGTTGTGCATGTCCTACTGCCCGCCACTGGAGGCAGTTCTCCAGCCAGCACTGCCCAGGGATTCCTTCATTACCTGGGCAAGCTTCTTCCCTCTCCCCTTCCCTGGGTGATGAAAAGAACCTAATGCAGGCAGAGTCATGTGATTCCGACACATTTTGTTTCCTGCTCCTCTTCTTTTGTATTAATCTACATTTGAAATGAGAGCATTGAGGATTATTTACAGAGTAAAGTGTTAAGTAAATTACACGCAATTGGGATGGATAAACAGATTCATCCCGTCAATACTGGGCGGCTTTTATTCCAGGCAATGTCTGCTTCTGTTCTGTTGCCCCCTTGCAATCTCATGGCTGTCATTAGAAAGTCAGAGGAGGGAGCAATTCCATCTCTAAAGAACCGATTTTTCTCTGCATTTACCATTTATCATCTGATTTCACCTTATTCCACATATTGAGTGAATAATTCATGGAGTAATGAAATTTAGTTTCAACTGTCAT